AACCGTGTATATTCTTTGCTCTGTTGCTTTTTGTGTGACAGTTAGCCTGTCCTCGTTGACTATGGTAGTCGACCAGCTCGCCCAGCATTCAGCGTCTTGCATCAAGGCGGACAGGACAGTTGAAAGTATTGCATCTTCGCCCTCGTCGAGTAACATTGTCGAGCAACGATGTTCTAATACGGTAAAAGCATACCCTTAACAACTCTCTATTTTTCGGCAGATTTCACTGTATTGCGAGTTGGTACGGTTCGTCTGATAGCAGTGGCCTGACTGGCTAGCAGTTTTTCTGAGCCCTTTTTCATCTGATAAGACAGAATTCCTTGGACTGTGCTCATAATTCACTCATTGCATCATAGAGAGATTATTCTCTAACACGATTGCTGGATATTCATTTTGCAATTTCTGAGTCTTACTTTGGAGTGCCGGTTGTCTTAAGTAAAGACTATGCTTTGATTCAATTAACATACTGAAATTTGAATGAACTAACAGTGGAAAATTAGCAAGCATATTATTTATCGTAAAGAAATTGCGTAAATCACCCAGAGGCATGCTCTTTTTAAACTGATTTCAGTTAACTTAGAAATGGCAACAGTTTAAATTAGTAAAATTCATTGCAAGTCAGCAGCAATACGTATTCTAAATAGCCTCACAAGGAAAAAATGATTCTCGCAAGCGTCAGCGGGTTCAAAGTTCCAACTGAATGTGTCCATGCTAGCCCCGTGGTTGTTCCATATTTGTTATCTCTACTTTCATTTCACTGTTGTCTGCAGCAGCGAATATTGTGTTTGGGTTTTTGTTGTACGTTTTCTGTCCCGAATTCTTCCCAGTCAATCTCTGCTTTGCTTTTAGTTTTGTTGACCATGCACTAAAATGTCTAAGTGTTTCCTTAAGATTCTTTTTTTCAACTTCTGTTGATTAGAAATTGTGCACTTTTGTGTTCGGTTCCTCCAAAGTGCTACTTATTGTTTTTTTAGCTCCCTCTGGTCAACAATCGAATGGTCACCAAACTCGACCTAACCAACCTGACCGTAAGGCGATATTTTGTATTCAGTTAGATGTCTTATTTTGATTGCATGGTTTTGCTTTTTGTTTCACGATATCGTATTTACTGCAAAAAGATGTCATTCTCCATGCATTATAACAGTACTAAATATGTGTTTAAGAAACATTGCCTCAGTCTCAGAAAATAATATACTTTGCTAAATCGGTCGGCCATAATCGGATTCTGTAGCCACCTGATAACTCGTTTCTTTCCTTTTGTACCCGGTTTAACCGTTTACTGAACATTTAGCTCAAACGTTGTTGATTTAGAACTTCCTGTGACTTTATTTGTAATAATTACTTGACCGCGTACACTTCAAAATTCGTGTGTTTGCCGGAGTATGTTAAATAGCGCATAACCGTTTCAAGTCCAGATTTCATAGTCATTGTATGGCTCCCTAGAAAACAAAGTCACTGCACTGCAGGAGTTCAAATGCCATAGAACCGTGGCGTTCCAAATTGTAACTAAAAATAGAAGATAGGACACTAGGCCCTTGGCGATGCCAATGCGTACTTTGAAAGGTACCG